CCCCCCCAAAAAAAAAGTGGAATTGCTTTTTTATTTTTTTATTTTTTTTGGTAATGATTTCTATTTGATTCCATTTAATATTTTAAGTTCAGCTTTTGTAAATTGTTGTTTTAAGATCTAATTATTAAATTTTAACTTTCTTTTTTAAACCATTTTACATGGTTTACATGGTTCATTTACATTATTTAAGTATTTCCTTGATATTTTATTTTTTTATTCTATTTAATTTGGTCTGTTTTTTCACAATTTAATTTATTTTTATGTGTCTAAGTTACTTTATCTGTTTGTTGTTGATCTTGCACTACAAATTATTTTGGATATTACTGCTGCAGTTCTTTGGAACCAAATATAATAAAGTGCATGACACTTTTGCTGTAAAATACATTGCATACTGGTGGTTTTTTTTTTTTCTTTTGTTACTTTTAGTACCACTATGATATATACATATAGGATAATGTAAAAAGGGCTGTCAGAGTTGTAATGAGTTTGTGTTAGGTGGTGAATGATCTGATCATCTGACTGTTGATTGTAGTAATCCACGTTATTAGCAGAAATAGAGGGCCCCATGGAGGATTGGGCTGGCACTGTGTCACATATACAGTAGTTTTGAGAGTCAACTTACAGTGTTTTAATTAAAATAATTGAATGAAATAAGCAAAATGTTACCCCATAAAATATGTTTTGTGCCTCAAAATAATTTAAAATGCATATTTGTTGGGAAACGTTTTGAAATTATAGGCTTGTGTTGGTGTCGATACACTGGTTTTTTTTTTTTTAACCATTTATTTTGTTTAATTGGAGTCCATCCATTTTTACCTGCTTTTTCTTTACCAGATGATTGCTGTGGTCTGATTCAGTTCACCACAAACAAAGAAAAGTATTTTTCCATGAGTTTGTACAATGTTGTTGTTTTTTTATTATTATTAGAAAGAAATGGCTGTAATATTCTATTAGTATTAGTATTCAAACAATACACATGGCTTAGAGATCACTGGCAGGATTAGCCCCCCTCAAACCATTTTAAATTCGATTTTAAAATCTTGTTAAACTTTCCTTTGGAAGCTGCTTTTTGTTCTTCTGGGCTGAAAACTTCAAGCCACTGGATGTGTACGTCCAAGTTTAGGTCTCTCCACCTTCTGGGTTCAGATCCAGACATCTAAAACAGTCATTCCAGGATCAGTTTAGAGCTCACCTGAAAAATATCTGTATTGTTTTGAACATGTGCCTCAACCTTATTGAAACAAAAACCTAAAATCATAGCACTTTAAAAAGGTTTTAATTGATGATTGCCATGTTTTCTTCATCTATCCCATGTCCAGACTAGTCTCCCACTTTGAAAATGAACTCATCCTCGTGTTTGACTGTAGACAGAGACGAGGCGATGTTCAGGGCCTGCTTCTGTTTTACTTGAAGGATGGAAAAATCCAGACAGAGGAATTGATGCCAAAAAGTTCAATCTGTGTTTCATCATATCGGGGGATTTTGCTTCTTTTGGTCTGAGGGTCTGTGGTCTGTCTTATGGCTTTCAGTGAGTAATGACTTCTGTCTGTCACTCTGTCATAAAGCCTTTAGAGATGGAGCGCTGCACTGATGGTTTTCTCATCTCCAGAAAGGAACTCTGGATCTCAGTCTTACTGATCACTGGTTTGTTGGATACCTGTCTGATCCAGGCCCTTAATCCTTCAGTATTACACTGTATATGTTTTTAGAAAGGTTTTTATTTCCTCCCTCACTTACACAATCCTGTCTCACGTGTGCAGGCACTCTCCTGATCTCATGCTTCACATATCCCATAAATTGATAGACTTCAGGGGTGTGCCCTCCTTAATATGTCCTGTGATTTCTAGGCACAGGTGTATTTAGATCCTTTTAACCTCCAAGGTAGTGATATAAAATATATAAAGATTTGCAAGTACAGTTTCAACTAAAACGTTTCAGTTTAAACAGAAAAAGGGAATTTATGTTTACATTGTTAGCTAAAGCTGTCATAAAATGTGTGCTGTCACAAACTGGCAGCCAGAATTAAAATAAATGAAACAGACTGACCTTAATTAACAGAAAAAAATGACTAATCAAATGTTGGCTAAACACTGTATGCCTAGAAATATTTTGTCCCTTAAGCAAAATTGTTGATGACCCCTGATTTAAAGGACAAGAGACAGAGGTTGGATGAATCAGAGCTGAGCTGCAAGTGCATATAAAAAGCATTTGAAAACATGTGAAATTAGGTAGTTTCTGTCTTTTCTTTTTCTTAAATGATAATAAAATGTACTACTTCAGGAACTATGTCACACCTGTAAGAAAAATCATATTTGATATATAAATGGGTCTTAAATATCAGACAACAAAAACTTTTTTTTAAATGGCTGAAATTGTTTATTTTTCTTCCAATAAATGAGCACAGTCATTAAAATAAATTAAACTAGAGAAATTACCTGCAAAAATTCATTCAACCTTTATTTATACAGGTTAAGGAGAGACCTGAAGTTTATATATATATATACATATATATATATATATTTCTATATATATATATATATATATATATATATATATATATATATATATATTTATATAATATATATATATATATATTTATATATATATATATAAATTTTTTAAGAGTGCTACAAAAAAAACAAAAAAACATAAGAACACACTTTTAGACAACTGACAGAATGAACAAAACACGTCTGCATGTTATAAACCTTCCAAAAAAAAACAACAGCATACAAACAAACACACAAAAACTCATACTTATCATGCATATTCAAAATTATATATCCTGGCAAACAGTGAGTTTCACAAGGTTACTACAGTTTGAGGTTCATCGCCTTTGATGTATTTCAGAAAAGAGTCCCATGTCTGGTCAAACTCAGCTCCTCTTTCTTCATTATACAGTCACAGTCTCTCCAGGTGCAACATGTTAAACATCTCTCCCATCCACAAAGCAAATGTCGAAACAAAATCCAGTTTCCACATACGTAAAATTAATTGAGACCTGAATTTTTAACAAAGGGTGATGACAACAGTGGACATCAACAACAACAATAGACAATCATAAAATATGTGTACAATGCATGCAAAAATGCAGTGTGAATGCTTACTGCAGAAGAACTTGCTGAAAAGCAACTGAAATTGACAAAAAAACATGCTGAAGTAGCTGAAATGCAGAATCCTAAAGAAAGCAGAAGAAATGAAGAAGTGCAGAAGAAAGCAGAAAGAACACATATTTGCTGAATTATGTTTAAAGAAGCAGAAATGAGCACAAGTGAAAATGATCTGAAAAGAGCTGAAATTAGCAACAAAAAAACTGCTGAAAATTGGCTAAAAAAACAGAAAGAAGCTTAAATTACCATTTGGAAGGGAAAGAGAACCTTTTTTGCTAAATTAGGCTGAAAAAAGTTTAAATGAGTACAAAAAATGTGGAAATAACTGAAAAACCTAAAATTAGCATAAAACAGCTAAATAGTAGTTAAAAAAATTGAAACTAGCAGAACTCCGCTGAAAGGAGCATAACAAGCTGAAATTGGCAGAAATAAGTTAATTAGGCTGAGTGTAGCAGAAATAATCACAAAATCTTGATTTTATCTGAGAACAGATGAAATTAGTTAAAAATGCAACAACAAAAAAAAGTTAGCTGAAAAGTTAGAACAAGCTTAAACCATCAGAATAAAGCAGAAAGAACATGTTTGCCCATTTAGGCTGAAAGAAGCAGAAATTAGCACAAAACGTGGATATTATCTGAAAAAAGGTGAAATTAGCACCAAAAAAACTGCTGAAAAGTAGCTAAAAAAGCAGAAAGAAGTTTAAATTGCTAGAAGGAAGTTGAGAGACCACATTTTTGCTGAATTGGGCTGAAAAAAGTTTAAATTTTTGCAAAAAATTTGGAATTAGCTGAAAAAGCTAAAATTAGCATAAAACAGCAAAATAGTAGCTGAAACAGTAGACAAAGCTGCAACTTGCAGAAATAAGCTGAAAGGAACTGCAATTAAAGCTGAAATGAGCAGAAATAAGTTGGAAGCACAAAAAATTTGTAGTTAGCAGAAACAATCATCTAACAATCAACCAATCAATTAATCTTTTAGGCAGTGATGGCTTTTTAATCTCTTTTTTTCACAGGATCGGATCCATGTGGAAGATGGAGTCATGTCAGTGTCTGTGCTGACACTCTCTGATGCCGCCATGTACCAGTGTGTGGCTGAGAATAAACACGGTGTCATATACTTTGCTGCTGAACTAATGGTTTTAGGTAGGATGGCATTTATCTTTAAATCCCCAAATCATTGTTACCAAAGAATCTAAAGGTCATCTTACTGTCTTGCCTAAAGGTTGCCTGGCTTAACAGATAAAGGGGTCAGTGAGGAGGATTTTGTGGGGGTCAAACACATTTAAAATAATCTTTCTTCTTGCGACAGTCTTTACTTTGATGTGATGTGGATGGAGTGATAAATACCTCTCTCTGTAGTGATAAACTTATGTATATTTCAGTTGATTTGTTTAAAAGTTTTCTTTTCACACTGAATTTCTTATATCTAGCCATTATCAGACACTTTGATTCAAAGCGGCTTACAACGGGAATGAAATGAAATTTAAAAAATCTCAAATTTTGCCTTGTTTTTCTATTTAACTCCTTCTACAGCCTTTTAAAATGTCCGTTTCAGTCACTGTAGCATTTAATGATTTTCTCAGATTGAATTACAGCTTGCTTCAAATGCCTTGTGAGATTTACTGCAGTCTTGTACTAAAGACAGTTTACTGCTTCCCATCAGCTTCTCCTCCAGACTTCACAGGCAATGTCCTCAGAGCTTTGCTCAAAGCCAAGGCAGGAACTACAGTCACTCTGGACTGTAAACCCAAAGCCTATCCCACAGCAAGCATCTTATGGAAGAAAGGAAACCTGCCTATCCACATGAACGACAGGTAATCACAGAAACAATTGAGTATTCTTCTCTGTGAATCTAATTAAAATAGCATTGGCAGTTTCTCCCTCCTCTGCACCCTCGGTCTAATCAATAACGACTGCGCGTATACACACTTTCTAACTAAAAGATGTCTTCCATATTACAAAACACTGACAAAAATGAAGTCATTGTTTGTATGATGATTAAAAAGGTTTTTGTTCCTGCCGTCTCTGTTTGCACACTCCTATAGGATCACGCTTTCCCCCGATGGAACTCTGAGACTTGCAAATGTGAGCAAATCTGATGCAGGCAGCTACACGTGCTTCGCTAGGAATAGATTTGGGATGTCAAGTACAACTGGAAGGCTCCTGGTTACGGGTGAGCTCTCCAATTATTGCTGGGGTTTTTTTGTGCGGGGCACTTCACTTAGTAAGCAGAATTTACGACTCAGCACAAATTAACATAAGAAAAAGACACTGCGTTGAGGTTAAAAACTGAAATTTGGCTCTGAGGAGTGTCAAAACTTTTGGATTGCTCCTTCTGAAATGCACTTAATGTAACTTAATGGTTAAGTTGCGTTAAAAAAAGCTCATCTTTCAGTCGTTTTGTCCTGCAACATTTGTGCAGCAGCTGCCATAATCCGCCTCAGAATGCTTTTGACAAAGTACTTGAACACTGTTTGCCTCAAAGCGGCTGAAACAACCAATTTACTGCAGCAAATGAAAGTGCCTTGAGTGGAAGCAATGAAAGCATTAGAGAGGTGGTGTCATGGAGGTTGTTATTGTTGGGCGTGTTTGTTTGTTGTTGCTGCTGTTTATTTGTTTGTTTGGTTTTCATGCTGGAGTGACAGCTTAGTGTTCTCAGTTTCCATCCATCCATTCATCCATCCATCCATTATCTTTGCCTGCTTCTTACTTTTCTGTTTCCTATTGGTTTTTATTAATCAGCTGAGTGATATTGTCTGCTGCGTAGATTGCCAAGGCCAGTTATTTCTTTTAACATCTCTAGTATTTCTCACAGTCATAAAGCAGTCAGGGCCACGCAGCTTCTACCAAAACATTGATTCTCACCAGTCTAAGAACGTAGTGGAGTTTTTTTGGGGGGGGCATGTAATCTTTTTCCTTCCTCTTGACTATCATTGTAAGGTAAGATGTAAGAGAACAAGTCCTCTTCCTTTGTGTTGTACCTTCTTTATTTGATTCCTGCAGATTCATTATCTTGGCTTTTGAAGCACAGAGGGGCTTCTCTAAATGATTGCTTTAGTAGACTTTAAAGCTGTGCTTCTCATTTTGGTACCAGCTCCACTGAGGAGCCCATTATGCGAAGTTTTATCTGATCAGCAGTGCATTGCAATTTCTATCAGGATTTCAGAAGATTATATGAGCTGTGTCATCCTATTACCCATTTTAGTGGTGGCAGGCTGCATGTAATCACACAATATTTGACTGAGACTTTTATGAGACCTTCCTTTATAACGTCAACACAGCTAAGCTTGTGATTCACTGTTTTACACAGCATGTTCTTGTGTTTTAGTAAGTGTTGCATTACGACTTCTGGTACAGTTAAATCAACAGCACCTCATGTGCAACTCCCAGATTTAAAAACTTTTTATTTTTTTTCTGTGACAGACCCAACCAGATTTATCCAGGGTCCAGTGGACATGGAAATCATTGTAGGTGAGAGCGTTGTGTTGCCCTGTCAGGTCATCAGTGACCCCGTCCTTGATGTGTCCTTTTCCTGGGCTTTTAATGGACAGCTGATCACCAATGGAGACGGTCACTTTGAGCTGGTGGGTGTGGTAAGTGATCCTTTGTTTAAAAGTCAATCCATAATCGCTGATTGTAATCCTAAGACATAAGGAAGGTTGACAGCTTTTTTATGAATTAAATTTGTTTCTTTTATTTTGACTCTTCAAGCTACTTTTCTACTGATTTTAAATAAAAGCAAAAATAGGTGATTGGGAAATTTGGGCTGATGCTTAAGGTAGGGAGCCTTAGCAGGATTAACACTGGGCTCAAAACCATGTGTGCCCTCTCAGACTTGTCCTGAAGTATAACTTTTGGATGACATTGTCACAAAAACACTGTCAGCTTAAAAAAAATAAGATTTTTTTTTAATACTTGGAGGCATAGAGATTAGAACAAAAATAGTCTTGTCGCGTTCCGTTTATCTCTGAAGTCAGGATCTGAGAATAATGTCATATACAACATAACAGAGTTCCAGTTACAACTCCAAACTAGAACTGCAAGCAGTTATTATCGGCGTCCAAGCCACTTGAAGCATGTCAACCATGGCACATGCCCCAACATACTGCCAACGGATTGTATATCACAGATTTGTGGCATAATGAGGAGTAATCATAAGGTGTATTTGAGGACCTGAAGTCTCTAAAGCTTTCTATGCTAGTGTATTTATTTTACCACACACATACAGTATACACATACACACACAGCCTTTGAGTGTGAGGGTCCTGTTCAGTATCGTAACTGTTCCTAGGAATGCGCTTTTCTGGACAGAGATCTCTGAGGTTTTTACTGGGATCTGTTGGAGCCACTCGTCCAGTTCTGGGGTCACAGCACCAAGTGCTTCAATGACCACTGGGACTACTGACACTTTAACCTCACCACAACTTCTGGATTTCCTTTTTCAGCCCTCGGTGTTTCTCCAGCTTCTCGTACTCCTTCTTCCTGATGTTAGAGACACTTGAGATTGTCACATCTATCACCACTGCATCCTTCTTTTGTTTGTCGAACACCACAATGCCCGGTTGGTTTGCCCTCACCTGTTTGTTGGTCTGGATCTGGAAGTGCTACAGTATCTTAGCCCATCCATTCTCCACTACCCTTGGTGGTATCTTTCACTTTGACTGTGGGACCGTCAGTCCATACTCGGCACAGATGTTTCCAGCCATTTGGCTATGGTGTTCCATGTATGCTTTGTCTGCCTGGATCTTGTATCCTGCTTTTCCCATATATATTTGTGTATAATGCAATCTCAAGTATAATGCAACCTCATTTTTAATAGCTTGAAAAGCATGGAAAAATATAATCTTAATGCTACCCCTAATTTCATTCAGAGATCAGAATTTTTCAGCATTTGTGGTCTGTATACCTATCAATAAAATGATACATGATGATTGTGGTATCAATTTTTTCCCTGTTTATTTTAACAACACATGTTGTTTTGCATTTATAATGAGAAGCCATGTTCTAGCAAACAACTTTGCAGGCAGTCAACCAGAGAGCACCAGGGGGAAAAGCATAGTTTTGTGTATGTCACTATTCTCCTTTACATGTTTTGTGTGGTGGAAATTTACTTCTGTGTAAAATGAATCCCAAATTCATGGATGATTTTTGGGATTAAATTTTTCACATTATACATAAATAAATATGGAAAGTGTTGGACTGTCTCTGGGGCATCTTTGCACAGCCTGCATCTTGGGTCGTGTCTGGTATGGTAGACACTGGCCTCTATTGTTCGTGTGCTGAGGGCCTGTTCTTGTACTGCTATGATTAGTGCCTCTGCACTGTCTTTCGTTCCAGCTCTCTCTAACAACTGGTAGGATTTGTTGATATCAGCCACATTCTCAATCTGCCAGTGGTATTTGATTGGTTTATCATTTTTGCAATGATCTGGCTGAGGGCATTCAGGCCTATGCAGAACATGACTGGGGACAGTGTGTCATCTTGGTATATGCCACATTTGCTGACTTGTGCAATTTGATTTGAATTGGCCTCTAGATTTTTCGTCTACATTCTTGGTCAAATTGTTGATGTCCTGTTGATGTTGTATTGTTTCAAGAAGTTCAGTATCCATGTATGTGACACTAAGTCATAAGCTTTCCTGTAGTCAATCCAGGCAGTGCACAGGTTTTTGTGTCTGGTCTTACAGTATTGAGCTATGGTTCTGTCGACCAGTAACTGGTGTTTGGCTCCCCTGGTGTTGTCAGTTCTCATCTGTGTTTTGCTCAGGTATTGACCCATATGTCTATTCATCTTTGGTGGGACACTTCCATTAGCAGCTGGTTCATCTGTGATGTTAGGTGTTCATGGAGAGCAGTTCATTTCTTTAGCCAATGGGTGTGAATCATATCAGGCTCAGGTGCAGTCCAGCTGTTCATTTCTGAGGCTCTGCATTAGATGCCTGCTACTGTAATGAGCACTGGTTCTCTTTCTGGGAGATTACTGTGTTGAGATCTTAGATCTTGTAGCCATGGGGCATCATTTATGTGTGATGCCTTCTTCTCCCATATCCTTTTACAGTACTGATTAGTCTCAACTTTGAGTGGATATACTCTTAAGTTGTACCTCTGCCATTGAGAGTACACTAGATGGTGTGGCAGAGAATATCTTTCTTATTCTCCTGGCTTCTGCTTTCTGAGTGTACCACTTTAGTTGAGTAGCCAGAGCTTTGAGGTGTTTTTTCTATGCATTTTCTAGACTTGTTGGACATGGGAAATAGTATTTTTGTGGTAGCTCTTTGTTCATCACATGCTTCTGTTGTTCTGACAGGTAGATGATCTATCTCCATGTTGCCTTGATCTTAGCTTCCAGCTTCCTTCTCCATGGTGGGCAATGTTCCATATTAATTGACTTGGTCTTATAGCCAGGCAAGTTAAGGATCACTGTGGCTTTTGTATATACCAGCTTATTGGTCACTGTGATAGTGTCTGTAGGGATACTTAGCAACTTTCACAAAGTATGTTTTTGTCACTTAGTCTTGCTTAGCTTGGTCACAATCTTCATTCTCAGGTCAGCTGCCCTTGTCCTCTGGGCTTTTCAATGGGGCTTGGTACCCATACTCTGATTGTGTGGATGATGGTATAGCTCCTCTCCTGGCTCCCCATTGCCGTAGCAACTTTGTTGTACCTTGTCAATCTCTAGGTGTGATAGCATATTCCTCACTCAAATGTTAGGTCCAAATATGTTTCTGGGTCAATCTGGATGATGGGTTTTGAAGTTGATAGTTCCCGCATCCTTCCCATATAGCCCCTCTTTCTAGGCTTGCTCACATAGTAAAATTCCAACAGTTTTAGGTTATCTGCCCTTGTCCATGAAAGTTCCAGTAGCCCGTTTCTCATCAGAATGTCCTGGTTCCTGGACGTGGACCTTGTTAATCTGGACAACGTCCAAGTTGGCATGTCTTCAATATTTTATCTCTCCCGCATAGTGTAAATGAGATTTTTCTCTTTCATTGAAAAACTAGCCTAACTTACTAGCATTTAGCTGTTTTTAAGACTTCCTCACTAAAAATTTTATATTTTAAAATTAAATAAATTTGAGTACCAGAACATATTTGTTTTATATCAGAGATGATGTCCTGTAAATGTTAGCTCTGTAGGTCAAATGTGTGATTTTTAATGATTGTCTTAGTCTCAAAAAGCCACGCCTACTTTTGCCAATCATTGCCACACTGAACCAAACAACTTAGGTTGTGGTCATAGGCAAGTACATTCTATATCATAGCAATCACCATAAGGATTTTTGAGATATAAACAATTTGTAACCATTGTAAGTCAATATACTTTGTAAATCAAAAGTCCTTTTGAAACAAACAAAAAAAATCACTTAACATGGCAAGACTGTTAAATTCTGAAAATATTCCTTAATAACAGGTTATGGCTTGTTTATTTACACCATTTTTAAGCCCCTCAGATCTAAAATGTTCTATAGAAAATAATTTGATTATATAGCATTGAATAAAAAAAATATATAAATATAAATGATCAAGTATTTTTAAACAAAAATCAAATGATTTGACCAAGTTTGACACACTCTACAGGATTGTGATTTTTTTTTTCTTCTTCTTCAAGACCATATAGGCCATGTCCACTTGTATTTAATTATCGTTTAGATGTTAGCTCAGGTCACTGTTCTAGGTCAGTGCAACATTTCATTGATAACCATTCAGCCATTTTTGTGGGAAATTATGTGGTTTATAGTACCCCCAATGAACGATGGTCAAATCTGGTACACTGTTTCCTAATACAGTAGTCCCTCGCTACTTTGCGGTTTGTTTATCTCAGACTCGATCTATCGTGGTTTTTTAAAGTAAGATTGGACATGACACACAACTGGCTGATTGATGGATGAGATGCATGATCAGCATGAAATTTTCATTTTAAATAAATTATTTTAAATTATTTAGCAATTGCTGCACCTGTGTGCAGCCCACAGCTGCAGAAAAAGCTCCCTCCTGCACCTACCTCTGTGCAGCCCACACTGCAGGATAAACTTCCTCCTACAGCTAATCAGCTGATCTCCGCTCTGCTGCAGAGAAGTGGGCATGGCCGAGAGAGCTGGCAGATCTTGACCATGCCCAGAGAGGCAGAGAGCAGACAAGGCAGAGAGCTGAAATCACGAAATTCTGTGCTTTTTTAGAACGCTTAGAGTTTAGAAACATTGTTTAGAATATTGCAAGAGTGTGGGAAAGGTTTATAACACTAACACCTCAATATATGTATATATATATACTAAAATAAACTACTACTTACTACTTGTACAATTCCTACTTGGTGGTTTTTCACTTATCGCGGGGCTTTAGGGGATAGATCCCCCACGATTAACGAGGGACTACTGTAGCGGCTGTAAAGTCACAAATCATGTGTACCACTGATTTAATAAAATACAAACCAATAAAAATAATTTAAAAAATGTATTACTGCATCTTTCACATCATTTCATGCTCAAGGCAGCCATATTATATTTTGAGATTAGGGTTAGCCAGAAATTTCCAACTTTTCAAGTCTAAATTCTGACTTTATGGAAGATTATGTCTGAAAGTTCTGACTTGGAAATCTCATATTCCATATTATGAGTACAAGAAGAACTTCATTATTATACAACCTGCACATTTCACAAGTGCTCACTGTCATGGTTTAATAACAGCATTTTGCCCACAGACTTGACTAACTTTAAATCAGCTTATAATGTCTAGACATTGACCGATTTTTATTTTTTTTTTTAAACAGTCAAAGATAGAATTGGCCTAACTAATTAATTGGCCTAACTGATTTTTCAGTCAACCCACCTCATTCTTACTCCTTTAAAACTCTAGTTTTACTGGAGCTGGTTTGATGCTATGTATTGTGCAACTTTAAGTCTTCTCTGTGGAGTACAAAAGCTGCATGGTGAAGTAAAAATATGTGAAAGGAAGTGCAAATGGATCAATAAAGGCCTCCATGCTTCCAATTGTACTTTTTGTGAATAGAAACAAGACAGTCCCTATGTTAAAAAATAACACTTCCCACGGAAAAATCATTATGTAGGTAATACACTAGTGCTTAGCCATTGTGACAGGTTGAATTCTTTGTGAGTACTCCTTTACCAGCTCAGTCTCAGCTCAGCTACTTTTTTAATACTTTGGCTCACAATGAATTTCACTGTGACATGGCCTGCTGCACAGCCTCACATAACAGAAAGTGGATGTACATTATTAGATGTGTCTTTTAAAGGAATCAAAGCATGGCAAATGCCCAAATGACAAAACACTTCCTCACACCCTTGAGATTAGCCATTCTTCTTGTGTCTCTTTTCTGACAATGTTCTTATCTGAAAAGAGACTTCTTACCCAGAAATACCAGAAATGTCTCCGGTCCAAAGAGATTATCAACTTAACTTTGCTGCTTCAGGGAGTTTAATTTCCATAATTAAACCACATTGGCTCTATTGCGGTATTCTCCTGCCAATGCCAGCAGAACGATTTCACCACTAATTCACCATTCCATGCTCATGGGTATCCTCTCAGATCAGAATGTAGGGAGCCTTTTTTCTCTCCATAACTGAGAGAAAACTGTGCAAATTGCTTTTGCAGTAGATCTTTGCAATGTGTCTTAAAGGTCAACTGATGACCTCTTAAAAGCTAGTGAAAAAACAGCAACCTTGTCAAACAAACAAAAAAAAATCTGCAGTCACAGTAAGCAACTTTGTTCCCTTTACTTTCCACACCTGCTAAACTGCTGCTTGTGACCTGATATACTCGGAAACGTTGTTCAAAAGAATACCAGAACCTCAGAAAATCCTTGGAACCACTGTTTACCTTATACATGCTTCACCAAACTCTTTAATAAGCTGTCTGTTGTCTTTCATGCTGTACATAGAAACTTATCTTCTCCTCTGTAGCAGAGAACAGCGGGAGATCTTATGATCAGGAACATTCAGCTTAACCATGCTGGCAAATATATCTGCGTGGTGGACACAGACGTGGAGAGCCTGTCAGCTGTGGCTGTATTGATTGTCAAAGGTAAGAAAACTCTCCCTGCTTGGCACTTGCTAATTAAAACCAGGCTTGTGGATTTTTAGATTGGTTCTCCTTTAACAGGAGAGAATCAAACTAGTCTTTACAGCAGGGTATCCAAAGTGTGGCCCGAGGGCCATTTGTGGTCCTTGTAGTGATTTTGTGTGGCCCTAAACTGCAATTAAAGAATGGTATAACTTTGACCCACAGGCTTAAGAGGTTGATGCATATGTAGATCTTCTTTAGATTTGATGGTGATGTTTTTAAAATTTTTAGGTTTAACATCAAATCAGATTCAACAAATCTTCTCAAAATAAGCAATTTTAAGTACTTTACGCATATTTAGCTATAATTAATGTCTTTATCCTAGAACAAACCTTCACTGACCTACAAAAAATATAATTTTGGATAATAATTTATAAAACTTGGTTAAATATAACAACTGTTTTCAAAGAAAATATTTTCAGTTGATTTAATAATCGATGGGTTATAGAAATTGTACATTTTTAAAAGAATATATAGTGGTATCATCGACATTCAAGTTGATCAACTTTATCAGTGTCCCTTCAAACCTTCCATGAATCTGTTTCAGTGACTGCCAGCTGGACGGTTTTTCAGAACTTCTATGACCCTTTTGGGTCATCCATGGTCCAAACGGGTGTTTGATTTCCACCCCATTTTTTAAAGAACAGCTACTCATTTTAGGCTTTTGTCTTGAAAATAAACAAAAATTACTTTCCAAGCAGAAGAAAACAAATAA